AGAGCGCCTTTCAAACTCGCGCCCGCGGCACTGCCCGGGGCAGCCTCGCGCACCGTGCGTGGCGGACCCGGCAGACGGCCACCGCTTGGTGAGTGTCCCCCGGCTCTCTCCCTGTCCCTCTGCCAGTGCAGCCAGCGGAGTGCCCAGAGCCACTCCGAGGCCCCCACCCTCCCTGGCCACCCGCCCAGCCCCCTGCGGGGTGAGGACTGGGGCGGCCGAGGAAGGCCCGGGCTGCATTGGCTCCTCCCAGGGCGACCCTCGCGGCTCGGCTGAGTGCCGGAGGCTCTTTCAAGGAGACATTTTCTGTCCTTCAGCCCCCACCCCGGAAACAAAAGGAGCGGGCGCGCCGGGTGGCTCCGAGAGGTTCGGTCTAAAGCCCGGGAAGCCCCCAGGGCTGCGCGCACTCGCTCCCCGGTGCGCTCGGCCGCCCGAGGCACGGGACTGGGGGCCCGGGGGCGCGTACTCCAGGGAAGGACGCGAGCCTCTGGTCCCGGGAGCCCGAGAGGCGCCAGTAGCCTGTTCCGGATTGTGCCACACGGTGCTGGCTCCTGGGAGCCTCAGCTCATGTCCTGGAGGAGTTAGCGCGGGTGCCAGAAGCGGGGTGCCCGGGAGCGGAAATCACAGAGGCCACTGCCTGGCCCCGGCACCTCGACCCCGCGCCCTCCTGAGATGGGTTTGGTTCGTTAGCGCCACATCCTCGGCCCTTGGGTTTGCAGAGCTACGATCAGGCGTGCAGCCTGGAGAACTCCAAGACGTTCTCAAGTAGCTACTTTGAGTCTTTGCAGCTGCTTTTGAAAACAAAAGGAAGAACGGTGTGGGAAATGTAATGGTGGGAGGCTGGAGAGGTGTGGCCGGGGGCGGGGGGGGGCGGTATTAGCGGCGGTTGTTAGAGTTTAATCTCTGAGGTCACTCGCTAGATTGTTGGCACGTGAAGGGGCCTGTCCCCTGCTGTGGGACTCGCAGGAGGCGACCCAGACTCCAGCAGCCTACAGGGAACCCTAGACTGGGGGTTCCCAGAGTCTCCCCAGCCCTGCCTCTGCATGCATCCCGAACACACTTACCTTGCTCAAGAAATAATAAGCAGGGAGAGTAGTGGCAGCCCCCACAGGACTCCCTGCTGAGCAAATCCCCTGCCTCCCATCAGGAAAGTGCCTTTCCACGCTCTCCTCTGATGGACTGTGAGTGGAATCCTGAGCGACTTAGCTGGGAGTACCTCACCTCCCTGGCAGAGTAAGAACCAAAAGAAGGTGTACTCCCTCTCTCTGTTATTCACCGCTTCCCGGTGGTCCTGGGACACCACCTCTCCTTCCACACCTGCTAATAATGCTTTTACTGCCTCTGCTGCCCCCATGCCCTAACTGGAGGGTTGGACAACCCCTTGGCTCCCTGGGTATCTTGTTCTGGGATTGGGGCAAACCAAGTTCTAGAAGCAGAGGGAGAGGTTTGTGTAAGAGCTTGGGAGCTTTTCTAACTGCCTTTTATTAGAAGTGGCATAGGAGAGTGGAAAGAGCGCTAGCCTGGGAGTCCAGCACAGGACTTTGCCCGAGTTTTAGTCCTGGCTCTACTACATGGCATCAAAGACTAATAATAGTCTCTTGTGCTGGAAGGTACCTTGGATTTGCCTAATCCATTTACATGAAGGGAGGAGAGCTCAGAGATGGAGGCCATTTGAGCCTGGTTCCTGTTGGCCTAATAGGGACCAGCACTCAGATTTCCTCACTCTGTCTAATCCATGCTTTTCCCTACATGACTTGGGCAAGTGACTTATGTTTTCTGACTCAGTTTCCACTGAGTAAAGTGGGGTGCTTGCCTGCTCTTCCTCATAGAAGTTGGAGTGAGGATCAAATGAAGCCATATATGTGGAGAGTGCTCCATAAACGTCTATACAAAATAAAGGGCTCAGCTGTGGCTAGGAGAGGCCCTCTCCAGAGCTTTATAATTTCCTGGGTTTGTCCCACATGTGCCACAAGGAAGGGTAGATACCAGAAGCCAACGGTGAAATTTACACCCCTGGACTGTAGTATTGCATCTCCAGAGTAAACATTTGCCTTAACCAAATCCCAGGGTCACTGTTTACACTGCAGGAGGCCAAAGGCCATGGCCTGAGAGATGACCAGGGTTGGAGGGAAAAGGACTGTGTTCCAGTGTATGGCATGTCCCTTCACCTCCACCCCACTCTCAGAACCTTGTGAAGCATCTGGCTCCAAGCCTGGAGTATTGCCACAATCCCAGGCTGGAGCTGACCTAGTAGGGTTAACTGTGAAGCCATTTAGCTATTTTCTGTTGTGTTGGGGGTTGAGGGGACTCTGGGCTTTGGGAACGTGTTGCCTTTGCAGCTGCACTGAGGGCTGTTTTCAGCTCCTCTTTTGCCCCCCTCCCCACATCCCAGGCTGCCCCTCTGGCCCAGGCTGCTGCTCTGTCCCGCCTCTGGCCAGCTGCAGGTCCATAGGCCTTTGTTCCAGGCCTTCCCTCCCCAGCAGGCTATGGTCCTGGCAGCTGGAACTCACTACTGCCAGCAGGAAGGTTCTACTGGAGTTGCAGAGGTCCTGGCAGACCCTCATTTCCTCTCATGGGGCTCATTTTGGGGCTCCTAACTTGCCCCTGCCCAGATTCTTTCACTATCCTTTCTCACCCCCTTTCTTCCCCTGAATCATTCTCTTTTCCTTCTATACTCATGCCTCTTAGTTCTATTTTAAAGCATTCATTTATTCATTCAACAGTTGTTTATTTGGCACTGACTGTATGAATGCTAGATGCAGGAGACACAGCAGTGAACAAACTATACAACTATCATTGACCTATGGAGTTGACTTCTAGTGGGGGAGGCTGACAATAAGCAAGATAAATAATTAAAACAGAAAGCATTTTAGCCCTGGACAGTGTGGCTCAGCTGGTTGGAGCATAGTCCTGTGCACCAAAGCGTTGCCGGTTTGATCACCAGTGGGGGCGGGTATGGGTGCAGGACGCAACCAATTGATGTTTCTCATGTCAATGTTTTTCTCTCCCTCCCCCTTCTCTCCCTCTCAAATCAATTAAAGCATATCCTTGGGTGAGGATTTAAAAAAGCATTTTAATGATAAGGAGAAAAGTCTGACAGGGTAGATGGGTGTGAATTATAGAAGGGGTGAGATGATGTCTAAGATGAAGGGACCGGAGGAAGGGACGTTTGAGAGAATGCTGAAGGAGATGTTTCCTTTCATCTCTCATTTCCCTTTCTTGAAACTCTCCTTAAGCAACACTGGAATTGGACACACCTGGGCTCAGATCCCAGCTTGACAGCTTACTACTAGCCCTGTGGTGCTAAACTCCTTTGTGCTTGTGTTTCTCACATGTAAAATGGAGTTAGTCATAATACCACATATGATATTGTGAGAATGAACAATGAGACGATGTATGTTAAGTGCTTAGCAAGTCTATACAGGGATGTTCAGTAAACGATAGTCTTGTTATTTCCCCAACCCAGTCCTGCAGGGGTAACCTAAAATATTTAATGCTAAGGACTGTAGATGAGAAGTTTTTTTATTTCAATTATTAGGTAGGAATGGGGAATTAGAGGGCTGTGAAAATAGAAATCCTAGTTAGTGCAGACTTTATATTTAGTGAGGTTTTTCTATAGGGCCTTAGGTTCCAGGTGGTTGAAAGGTGTGGGCTGCTTTCCCTGGTGACTGGCTGGGTTTGGGGCAGCCTTGACCCTCCCTTGCTCTGGAATTCCCTCTGTTTCCAACCAGCCCAGATGATTCACACCTTAGTCTCCGGCCTCTCTTCTGCCTCAGGCTGGGAAGGCTATCAGCTCCTCGCCCAATGTCTACTTAAAGTTTGCTGGGGTGAGGGTTGGGGGTGGGGTGGGGAAATGAGAGAGGGGCTGGGGAGAGCTGGGCAGATGGTAGGCGGGGCTGTTTTAGGGAACCTGTGGAAGTGGCTAGAGGATTCTGTTAGAGGCTCAGAAGCAGCCTTGAAAAAAGGTTTAAGAAGGGTCCACATGGACCAGAATTTAGAGTAAGGGAATGGACAGACACTATGAGATCTCAGGGTCTAGCTGGACTTTGACTACTCAGCTCTCCCCGGCTTCCACCAGCCAGCCTAAGGAGCCTCTTCCTCTCTCAGCTGGAACCACGGACCTCAAAGGGAGGGGCCCATCTAAAAGACTGCTGTCAAAAGCTGCGGTGAGCGGTTTCCTGGGGGCCCTGCCGGGGCTCCGGAAGCTGGTTGGTGGAGGGTGGGGCCCAGGGAAGTGGTCATCAGACAGACCACTCCCCTGGAGAGCTCTTCTGCACTCACAGGCTATCCTGGCAGGCCCTGTGGTGAAGGAACTTTCTTTCTGGGCCTGTAGGTCGGTGCCTGGAGACCAACTAAAGCTAGATGTAATCTAGCCTCAGACACAGTTGCAAAGAGGGCCCTGAACAGCCCCAGACATTTTTGTCACAGAGAGAGAAAATGGGCAGGGTCAGTTAACCTGTGATTGTAAGGAGGTGCATCTAGAGATGCTGGCAGCCTCTCTGGGGGTTTATCTGTCTGGGATAAAGGCTGGTCTTGTTGACTGAGTCTCTGCTGTGTTCTTATTTTGGTTAGAAACTCTCTGAGGGCAGGAACGCTGCTTGATTCATCTTTGTTCTCACATAGCATGAAGAACAGTAGAAAGTGTAATCGGTGTGCTGAGGAATCTGGGCTTGGTGGTCTCAACTACTCCAGCTTTTGCTCCATGAAGTTAGGGGGAAGAAGGCAGTGGTGGGGGTCAAGCCCAGCCTCTGTGGGCTGTTGCCATCTGGGAATGCAGGACAAGGAGAGAGGGGCTTTCTGTAGTCCTCTTACTGGCCTCTGGGGAGGGAGGGAGTCTTGGTTTAAGCTCAAAGAATGGATTTAAAAAAAAAAAAAATCTTTTATTGATTTCAGAGAGAGGAAGGGAGAGGGAGAGAGAGAGTTGAAACATCAATAATGAGCGAGTCATTGATTGGCTGCCTCCTGCACTTTCCCTGCTGGGGATGGAGCCTGCAACCTAGGCATGTGCCGTGACCAGGAATTGAACTTTGATATCCTGGATCCTAGATCGATGCGCAACTGCTGAGCCACACCCGGCTGGGCCAAGGAATG